TTCTTCTTCTTCTTCTTCTTCTTCTTCTTCTTCTTCTTCTTCTTCTTCTTCTTCTTCTTCCTCTTCTTCCTCTTCCTCCTCCTCCTCCTCCTCCTCCTCCTCCTCCTTGTTCTTCTTCTTCTGAGAAAGCTGTTTCAGTGACTGTGGAGAGTTTGAAATGAAGGCAGTTCGTAGTCAAGTTCTCTTGGGCCATATTTTGTCATGCTTGTGTGTGAACTATCTTTGTGAGTATTAGCTAAGTCTTTTAGAATGTGCAAGAGGCTCCTACTCTCCACCAGTCAGCAGGCTGAGGGTAAGATCCGACAGGAGCTGAGGCCCAGATCTGGGCTTTCCACACTCTGCAGTGGCCTGCTTTCCTTAGGTCTCCACCACTATACTTTAAAAGTGCCCTGATGTGTGACTTTGTTTGTTCTATTACTATAACGTTGCATGGAGGGGGCTAGAGAGATGACTTAGCTCTTTAGAGCCCTTCTTGTTCTTGCAGAGGGCCGGGATCCAGTTCCCAGCACCCATGTGGCAAGTTGCAGCTTCCTTAACTCCAGTTCCAGAGGATTCGGCTCCTTCTTTCTGGCTTCTGAGGGCAGTAGGCACATATATGGAACACATACATGTGTGAAAGCAAAGCACTCCCACACAAAATAAAAATGAATATATACTTTTTAAAAACCTGTAAGGAAACATTAACATATTAAAACATGGAGTTTGGGGTAACCTAGTCTGTGCTCCTAGACAAAAGTTACTCTTTGGGAGACAACTCCCAAGTAAACTCTGTCTTATCCCCTGTGAGGCGAGAGTTGTATTTCACACCTGCAGAGTCCCAGACAGACAAGCAGACAGCAGTATGGTCAGGGATCTGAGGAAAGCTGAGAGGAAGTGGGGGAATTCCATGTCATGTCACATGGTTGGTGGGTACCCAAAGTATTTGCTTGCAGCTGGGCTGTCTCTGAGTCAGCTCCAAGGTTGGGAAGGGCAAAATTCTGCAAAACAAGTCATTTTAGATCTGAAAAGCAAATGGTTTCGTTTCAGAAAGTGTTACTGTTCAGCCAGCATGGGGGAGCTTCACAAAATGGCGTGGCTCTGACTAACAGTATCTTCAGGCTTTTCTGCTCACTGAAGACCTGGTGTTTCTTTCCCAGGGCTCACACCCCGAGTTCAGACTCCCTCTTCCCCAACATACATGGCGTCTTCCTCCCTCTCCTCCATTAGAGCAGAGGCTTCGGATATGAGAGTCACACTCACCCCTATGAGGGTGTTCTAAGCTAGAACAGGCCTACGAAGCCCCCCAGCATGTCCTGCACAGAGTCAGACAAGGTAACAAGTGAGGTCTTGGTGACAGAGTTACGGGTGGTTAGGAGGCCATGGTGAAAGAGTTGCGGGTGGTTAGGAGATTTAGCTCAGCTGTAGAGTGCTTGCCAGGCGTGCACGAAGCCTTGGGTTCAATCCCCAGCACCGTATACACAGGGTGTGGTGGTGCACGGGTCCTGGAAGTTCTGGACAGGCTTCTCTAATGCAAAGAAGGACCAAAGGAGAAGTAGACCTTGTCTAAAGCATTGGGGGTGGCAGGCTGGGGATGATGACTTAAAAAGTGTCACGTCTACCATCCAAGCACCAGGACCTGAGTGTGTGTCCCCAGGCCCTGTGTAAAAGCTGACAGTGGTCAAGTCCAAGGTCCTCCCCCTCCATCCAGGTCTAGGAAGGTGAGCATCCAAACAAACAAGGCTCCCACATAGCCAGTACTTGCAGTAGAATCAAAACCCGGTGCCATTGTCCTTGGCTTCTCAGTCAGTCCTCCTTGTCAGCCACGTTCAGAGAATCTGGTTTGATCACATGCTCGTTCAGTCCCAGTCCAGCTGACCTTGGTAAGCTCCCATTAGAGCAGTCCCACCGTCTCAGTGGGTGGACGCACCCCTCACGGTCCTGGCTTCCTTGCTCATGTTCTCCCTCCTTCTGCTCCTTATTTGGACCTTGGGAGCTCAGTCCAGTGCTCCAGTGTGGCTCTCTGTCTCTATCTCCATCCATTGTCAGCTGAAGGTTCTATGGTGATATGCAAGATATTCATCAGTGTGGCTATAGGTTAGGGCCAGTTTGACTCTAGAGGGGATCCCAGGTGTCCAAGGAGATGGCCCCAGCTTGTTCCTTGAGCAGACCGTCTTAAAACCAAGGTGGAGAACCATGGAGAAGCTGGCCCAATGTTGACTTCTGGTCTCTCTCTCTCTCTCTCTCTCTCTCTCTCTCTCTCTCTCTCTCACACACACACACACACACACACACACACACATACACACACGGTGCACGGTGTAGGGGAGAACTCTAGAGCATGAAACAGAAGAAACCCCAAAGGAAACAAAGGGTTTCTGGAGAGATGGCTCTGTGGGTGAGAGCACTGACTGCTCTTCCAGGAGCCCTGAGTGCAACTCCCAGCATCTGCACGGTGGCTCACAATTGACTCTAACTTCTGATGTCCACTTCTAGCTTCTACAGACACCAAGCATGCAGGTGGTGCATGAGCAGACATGCAGACAAAACACTCTACACATACAATAAAAGATATTTTTTAAAAGAGGAAACAAAATGCTTGCATGCCTGTTCTGATGCCCCACTGGAATATGCTAGAAAACGGCCAAGTCTTCCCCTGACAGGGAAAGGTAGGTCAGATGAAACCAGCAACCTCAGAAGACACTAGACATGTTTAAGGTGACAGCCATAGATGCTAGATTTTGCTCCTAATGAATTCAGCAGCCCTCAAGGACCCTGACCCGGCATAAGATCTTCTTGCATTGCTACAAGGGAGGAATGCAACCCTCTAACCAGGCCAACATTGCATGGCATTTGTGAGACCAAACCCTCTCTTAAAAACAAAAAACAAGGTCTCACGATGTTGCTATGACTGGCCTGAAACTTGCTATGTAGACCAGGCTGGTGTGGAACTGACAGACATTCTCCTTAATCTGTCTCCCAAACATTGGAATTAAAGGCATGTGACACCACACCTGGCATCAAACCAATGCCTGGTCTCACCGTTCCTGTCACATGAACTAGACCATCCCACCGCACCTGGGAGCTCCTCCATCCGTGACCAT